CAGTTGTGGGAAACTGCAACACACTGGGGTGGCTTCAAAACCTGATGAAATCAGTGAAGATACTCCTCCACTCCCACCTTCAAGGAACTATGGATCAGGCCTTTGGGGAGAAAACTCTTCCTTTGAATCACCATATAATTGGCCTTGGCCTCTCTTCCCCTGGAGAACACAAGCATGAATCTGTTTCCCATCAGTCAGCAGGAGAGGGACATCTCGATCTGTACCTGTCCTCCTGCGGGCTGAACATCCCCAACCCCACACACCTCCTCGGGAGGAGGAAGTAACATTGCCAAGAAAAGGCATAAACCAGCCAATCTTGGCAGGCTGAAGTCCTCCAAATCCCCCTCCCTGTGCAGTCAGCTGTGCTTCTCCACTGCCTGCTCCTCTCCAAGAAATGAACCTCAGCTGGACCTCAGCTGTGCCCAGGAGTGCAACGGTACCCAAGGATTTTCCATGTTTTGTCCCTACCAGGCAGTTGCCATTCTCCTTTTTGACCATAGGACACAAGAGAGGAACTGCAGATCCTTGCACCTTCTACTGAATAGTCACCAGCTCCCCAGGGAATATTTTATCCCATATTGTTGCTGAGGAGGCAGCCTTGCAGACCATGCAACAGCCCTGCCAGCAACCACCCCTACCCTCCACAGGGAAAAGAGCCAAAATATCTGGCATTGGGAACAGAAGTGGAGGAGGGATGACTTGTCTGTGATGGTGGAAAGTTTGGAGTGGAGGAAAAGCTGGGTGAACCTATCCCAGTAAAATATCCCCAGAAGGATCACACCACGGCCAACCCACCTGTGTGCAGAAATGGGTGACGGTGGAAGGAGAAGAGCCAGTGAGAGGAGAAGGGAAACCAGGAGGTGAGAAAGAAATGTGAGGGAGAAGGGAAGAAGGACATAAGGGCAAGAAACAGGAGAGGGTTGGAGCATTCCAGGAGGTTGGTCTGTGCAGCACTGGCACACCACAGCCCCCGCTCTGCCCCCCCACAAGCAGTGTCACCATACCTCCAAAGTCAGGCCTGAGGCGGACATCGTAGCCCTTCAGCAGTTTGTCCACAATCTCTTTCACCACAGAAATATTTCCAGTGGATGGGCTGAAAGACAAGAGAAGAGAGTTTCTGTCACCCCGTGTGCCACTGGCCGCTTGGGCAGGGGTCCTGGCCAGGCAGCATCCTTCACATCCCAGGGCACCAACACACCCCTGTGTGCTACAGATACCCCAGCCACGGGCAGAGCCTCCCTGTTTTCTTTCTCGCTTGTGTTTTCTGTCCTTGGCACAGCTCTCAGCCCCCAACCTGCACACAAGCCCTGGCCACGCTGGGTTCTTGCTCCTGGTCTCACACTACACAGCACAGACTTGTCTTGCCCTGAGGTCCTCACTATACAATGTCCCCACTGCACAAGTGCCCCCCAGCAGGCCCCCTGCACCATCACACACCCCAGTGCAACCTCTGCTTCTCACTACATGCAGGTGTTTCTTCATATTATTGAAGTAAAAGAGAAAACAACACTCCTTTTTTTTTTCATACAGCCTCAACATACGGCTGATCTTTGGCATGTAAGAATTTCTGTCACTCAGCATCACCGTGACTTCTTAGCAACGCAGATCAAGAGGCAGAGACAGGGAGGGAGAGTCCATCTTTCCCTCTGTGTGCCAGAGCAGCAATCCTTTCCCTCCCAACCCTTTAAGTTGCACAGAGGGGGGGACAGCCGTCCTCCCTAACACCAATCCAGCCTTTATAGCAGGAAGGGAGCTCTCTCTAAAATCAGCCCAAGAGCCAAACCGAAACCGAAGGTGGGAAACCAGAAAGCAGGGGATGCTAAAAATATTGAACCTATTCAGTGCTGCGGGGTAAATCGGTTTTCTGCCTGAATACCCAGCCTCTGTGCCACCCTCGTCCCCTGCTTTGCATGAGAATAGAGACCCTGCCGGTGACAACCGCTGCTCTTTGCAGTCACCCACCACAACAGCATGTCTCCCTGTCAACACCGCCTCCCACATCCATCCCAGTCAGGCTGGAAAGCTGCACCAGAGCACTGCCTCTGCCAGCCAGCCCCCTGCCTCGCTGGGCACGGGGGTTTGGCTTGACATGTCTGTGTATCTGCACACACAGACAGACAGACGTGCTGTCCCCGCTGTGGGGGGGGTGGTGTACGGACTCCCTGCCTGTGCACATGGACATGCAGACACATGAAAGCACTGGAGCTCAGGGGGCAGTTGAGGGATGTGCACAAACCTGTGTGTGTGATCACAGTCCAGTCAGTGACTGGAGGTGACTGGAGGTGACAGTGGGTGCAGACCTTGCTCCACTGGGATATGATGAGACACTGGGCTGCGGACACAATTTATGCAGGAGCACAGAAGCAGGCATTGGTGGGTGCCTGAGGCTGGGTTCCCAGGTGCCCAGGCTCTCCACAGAGGTGTGGGTGGAGGCATGTAGGATCACTGGGGAGTCAATCTGGGAGTGTGTGTGTGCAGGGATTTCTCAGCCGGACAGGGATGTGCAAAAGTGAGACAGCACACACACTTCCCAGGCCCAGCTCTGGTGCATGGACAAACCATCGAGCACTTGTGCTGTGTCTGAGCTCTGTTCCTGAGCATGCACCTGAGTGTGGTACAGCTCTTCATTGAAAAGGCCAGAAGTTGCACACAGGTGGGCATTTTCACAACACTGTGTCGAGGCTTGCAAGGTCCACTTGCACCTGTGGATTTCCCTGCAGTATGTGGGGATTTGCAGCATGCTTATGTACTGTCACTGTGGGTTACTGATAGTGTGCACCAGCATTTGTTCATGACTAGAAGCCGTTCCTACAGGTACATAGATTTCCATGTTCATAGGTTTCCATATTCATAATATGGACACTATGTATTTCTCAGGGGATTTAAACACTTCTGTTTAGCTTCCTACAGGACATAAACTCAGGAAGAAGTGTTACTTCTTTAATATAGGCAGGGAAACTGAGACAGAGACAGTAACCAATGTGCCAGGGGCCCTGCAGAGTGGAAAGGGGGATACAGGGGGTCTTTCTTCCTCAGCAGCTACAAGTTGGCCTAGTGAGGGAACAAACTGGCATCATGGTTAAGGGCAAGGTCTTTTCCCTCTCAGCGCTCCTTTTGATCCAAAAAGCCACATCCCTCCTGCTGAAGAGGCAAGTCGTGCGTTTGCCCAGCTGTGGGCGAGCAGCTGCATGTCAGAGCTATTCCTGGCAAATGTGGGTCTGCATCCGCTCAGGGAGCGCGCACATCCAGCCCGTGAACTGAATTCTGGAGTGCCGTGTCCCTGATTCCGTGTGGGTGGGCATGTGCTTTGCATATATACACGTACACTTGCAGCCAAGCATCTACATACATGCGGCCCGTGCTGCTGGCTGGGGGGTGTGGGAGTAGCCGAAGGCATGTGCACACGGGAGAGTGTTTTGTCTCTGAGCCGTGCGCGGCCAGACGGGCAGGCTGCAGGTGAACATCTCGAGCAGGTCTGAACACACATGCAGAGACAGGGGGTCCGCCGTGGGCATCATTCTGCACACATTTCCTCGGACCGTGCCCCCGGGCACGCCTGCCTGTGTGTCCCACACAGCGGGACCACGCGTGGATGGTGTGGGCAAGGTGGGCGTCCGTCTGCGCATGTGCGTGTTTATAACTATGGGAACCCAAATCTGGGCATCATCCTCAGCCCCGCAAGGCTGTGCAGGGACCTGCGTGTGTGCGCTGGGAACGCGCTGCTCCCTGTGCACGGCTGGGCAAGGAAATGCCACAGCACCACCTCCCCAAGCTCCTCGGCAGGCTCGGTGCACACCCGGCGTCAGCAGCGGGGTACAAACCCACCTGCTCGCCTGGGCGAGGAGGAGGAGGCAGCGCTACTCCTGCGTGTGAAGGCGGTGGATAAGCACCGTGTGGGAGCAAACAGGTGTGCTCTGTGCACCTCGTCCAGGCTGGATGGGTGCCTGCCCCTCCGGCTGCCTGCAGCACTCGCGGCGCTCAGGGCACGCGGCAGGAATAGCTGCGGCTGGGGTACGCAGGGCATCCAGTGCCAGCGTTCAGGGTGCCATGCAGAGCAGGTAGAGCGTGCCGTGCCCTGGGTAGTGACACACATGCGTGTGCACCCGGAGGGGGGCGGATGAAGGCGCACACGCGGGGATGGATGGGGAGGGACGGCACCCACAGACCGCGGGGCTGCATGCCATAAATCTGCGCGGAGGCACGGCCGTGGGCATCGCCTCCGGAGCACCGCAGAGCCGGGGCTGTGGCACGGCACGGCTGTGAGTGTGGCTGCGTGTGCGCTGCGTGTGTGCGGGCACAGGCACGGCCGAGGCAGCGAGCGCTGTGCCCGGCGCGGCTGCACAGAGCGCGGTGCCAGGCGCTCCTGCGGCTCCCACAGACACCATGTTCCCCGGGAAAACGCTTCGGTTTACCATTTCCCCCCCAGGCTGAGTAGGGGGGAAGGGGAGAACACACACACACACGCACACGCACACACACACACACACACACAAGTGGGCTGCGAGGTGGGCTCCGTCTGCAGAGTGTGCTCCACATCTCATGTATGAGCATCCCTCCTCCTCCCCCTAAAACGACACGGACCGGGAAATAACAATAGCGGGCAGCAGGGGAAGCAATTTGGGGAAAGAACCCCCTCCCCTTTGCCACATACAGATCGATGGAGAAAACCCCAAACACCACAAACAAATCCTGTGTCAGCCCCCCTGTCCCTGCAGCCTGAGATCGCAATCCTTACCTTTGCGCACAGCAGGCGAGACAAAGAGCTGCTAAAGCAGAGACAATTCCACTCAATCTGTCTGCCTGAAATGTCCACATTTCCACAAAGACGAAGAATGAAAAAAAAAATCTTTGGAGGGGAGGGGAAAGAAAGATGGATCTTCTGAAATCCCCCTCCAAAAAAAGGGGGGGAGGGAAAAAAGAAACCAACCCCCCCCCCAGTTAATGATTTCCTAGAGAAAAAGTATAATGAAAAAACCTAAAAAATGTGGGGGAAAAATACCCCCCCCTTCCTTCAGTGCCAGTCAAAGAATTCGTTTCTTCTTCCTTTCAGCATCCTCTCAACAAGAGACATCCTCTGGCAATGGAGAAAATCCCAAGAGAAAGCAAAATAAAATGCCCCAAAATGGGCTCAGCAAAATGTGAAATCGAATCTCACAGGTACGCAGAAGAAAAAGAAGAAGAAGAAAAAAAATAATTAAAAAAAAAAAGGAAAAAAAAAGAAAAAGAAAAAAAAAAAACAACTCAGTGTCCCCTGAGCACTCCACTTGGATTATTTTTCCTCCTGCTCTTTTGCCATCCGGTTCTGCAGATGTTGCATGGCTCCTGCTACCCACCTTCAGAGAGGAGGAGGAGGAGAAAGAGCGTGTGTGTGTGTGTGTGTGTGTGTGTGTGTGTGTGTGTGTGTGTGTGTGTGTGTGTGTGAGGGAGGACGTGTGAGTTTTCTAGCGATAGGGTTTTATTCTGGATTTTATCTATTTGCTCCCCCTTCCTCTTTTATTTTCCGAGGGGGAAGGGGAAGCAGCCCAGCCCCACCGTGCCGTTATTTTATTTTAGGGAAATCTCGGGCTCGTCACTCGAGAGGTTTTTGTGAAAGGGTTAAAAAGGAAAAAAGGAAAAACAAATGCAACCCAGAAAATAAATAAATACATATATGCATGTGTAGAAAATAAATAAATCCCTGTCTGTGGAAAGTGCTGCTCTCCGAGGGAGGGCTGGATGTCTCCCTAGTGCTGTTGCCGCAGCTCCTGTGGAGTTTTGCTGCTCATTGCAAAGTCACAAGAGGAGGGGAGGAGAGAGAGAGTTTGTGGTTGGGGAGGGGGACTCTCCGGACAAATTGGGATCCTGACGTCATGGCTGACAACATTAACCCCTGCTGGCTTGCAGAGGGGATGGAGGAGGTTTTTTGGTTGTGCTTTGCTGTTTTGCTTTTATTTTTTTTCCCCCAGGGAGACGGGAGCAGGGAAGATGGTGGGAAAGGTGATGGCATTTTGGCAAGCAGGGGGATGCACCTGGACAAGAGTGGCTCGGCTGTAAGTGCTGGTGGGTGCCGTGGTTGCCTGAAACAGTGTGATCAGCAAAGGCTGAGCTCCTTCCTTCAGCCACAGAGATGAAAAATAAGGTGATTTACTGAGACTGTCTCCATGCCATGGGGCAGAATGGCCTGGTGGCCTCCTCCTGGGGAAGATCTGAAGACTCTGGTGGGGCTGAAGACTTCCCCAGACCAGGGAAGCCCAGTTCAGCAGGGATGCTCAGCTCTCCCTGAAGGGTGCTGTGTTATGCATACAGTAGAATTTGTGGAAAACGGGGAGCTTGAACTTCCAGAAATGCTGTTGAGGATCAGCTCCTGGTGCTGTGTCTGACTGCTGAAATGGTAACAGCCCTTGAGATTGTCACAGCCTCCTGTGCATCAGCTTCCGATCTTTGCCTTAAAAAAGTAATATAATTAAGGAACCCTGCATCAGGCATGCAGGAGGGTGTTACCATGAAGGATTTTTTCCTAGGAAAAGGAGATCCAGCAGCACTTTGAATGCAGAGCAGAAGCCATGGCTCAAGGAGGAAACATCCAAGCTCTTGTTCCAGGACCGTCCTGGATGCCATTTGCTCTGTGCCTGCCCGGCAGCTCAGAGCCCTCTGAGCAGGTAAGTCTCCCCTCCCCTGGTGCTGGCTTACACCTGCTGTGGGGATGGTCTCCAAAGCCCTGTGGGCCAAGAGGGCAGAGCAGATGTGTCACTGCAGCTGGACGGGACAAGGTCCAAAATGCCCCTGAAGAGGCCCAGGGCCACTGGGCAGCACCTCTGTCCTGCCTTTCCCTATGAGGAGGTCTGCCCCAGCCCCAGCTGGAAGAATCCTTGGCTCTGGGGTTCCTAATGCTCCTTTTCCTCACGTTTGGCTTGGCTCTACATGGTTTCCTCATCAGAGGCACGCCACAGATCACACACTCCCAATCTCCTTCTCCCAAACAGAGGAGCAGAGAGTGACCCTTTTAAAGAGCTTCCTCTTTGCATGCCAGACTGAACTGTTGCAATGCAGAGACACTAAACCAAGGAAGAGCTGGGCTGTGTGGTGTTCTGTCCTGGTGTCACTGCAGGAAGGTCCTGGGGGTAGCAAACGTGGGGTTTGTGGGGAAAAGGAAGGCTCAGGGAAGGTTTTGCATGTACAGTGATGCTGTGCTAGAACAGGAGGGGAAAAGATCTTCTCACCTGCTGCTGAGGCTGGTGGAGAATATTCTCTGCTTGGTTTAGAGCCTGGACCACCCCTGCTCCTCCAGACTTCCATGACTAAAGCCCCAGAGTGCTCTCCAGTGTTTTCTCAAAGACCAAAGCAGGTCAGTGGCACTTGTCACATGCCAGGGAATGTGTCTGCCCATGTGGAGTCAGGAGTCAGGATGCAGCATGCTACCGAGAAGTTTGCACTGCAGACCACTCTCTGTGGCCTCCCAGGCTGCAGTTAGTGCAGAGACTCCACCAGGACATCCAGCTTGGCTGGTGATACTTCACTGCATCGTGAAGCCCAAAGCAACTGCTGCCTGTCTGGGCTGTCCGTGCTGGCCCAGCACTGTGTCCTCAGGATGTTCCTTGGCTTCAACAGGCCCCATGTCAACCCCCCCAGAACCTCATGGCTCCTTCATTCCTGTGGTCCCCTCATTCCCGTGGCTCCCTGATTCCTGTGGCTGAAAGAGCCTAAAGAGCTCCCCTTTTCCCAAACAGCTGTGGGGAGATGGGCCAAAACAACAGGGTTTCCCCATGAGCCTGTTGAAGAGGAGGAAGCAGCCCAGTAGATCAGGGCTGTGCTTGGTAAGGCTCAACCCCAGCTTTAAAAGCAGCTGGTCCCACCTTTCCCACAGGCCAGTTTGTCTCCAGTGCCTCAGATGGTGTGGCTGGCAGTGCAGGGCACAGCCAGCCATGGCAGGGTCCTGCAAGATCTCTCCATGTGCACAGGTAGCACTGGGAGCCCTGAGCCTGGGAGGAGCTGGTGGTGCCTCTCAGGTGCCTGCTGTTGTACAGGTACAGTATTTACCTCCCTTCTGCTGCCAGCACACTGGTCTCCTGACAGCAGTGAGTTTCTGAAGCATTTATTCTGAATTAAGCTGCTGGGTACCAGGGAGGAGCTCTTGGAGAGATGAGAAGAAGCATTTGCCTCTGGGCACCGGCGGCCCCATTTAGCCCCTCCTGGTCCCTTCCTTTTCTGGCCCCTCGGCACTGCTCTCTCCCACCAGCTATGATTGCATGTTACTGGCAGAAAAGGTAAGTGGGAAGCAAATGTCAGAGGCATACATGAAGAGGAAAAATTATGCTCACAAATGGTGACATTTGTGCTTGCAAGTTCACCCAGTCGGGAGCAGAAACCGTGTCACATGAATTATCTGACCACTCAGCCACAACGGGACACTCTGGGAAGCCGATTGCTTGGCAGTAAATGCAGTCAAAGAAGCTGTTGTGTGCTCCTGAATAATCTACCTGAAGCCATGTTCTTGAATAAAGGACTGCTTTGGAATTAGTCACCCGTCTCTGCTGAGTCTCATTAAGGCTGATGCACACAGGTACGTGACGATGCTCGCTGAGGTGTTTGCGTCCTGCCCTCCGAAAGGTGGGCATCCTTGAGCCCCTCCCAGAATCCCAAATGCTGTGTCTCCTGCTCCTGCCAGGGGCTGTCTGATCTCCAGTGAGAGCCCAACAGTGACTTTTTCTGAAGTTGATATTTTGAGTCTCAAAAGAGGTGTGAGAGGCTGCTGGAGATGACGTGCCGTGGCCGTGATCATCCTGAAGAGGCCGTGGAGGATTGTGTTTGTGGCCATTTGCTGTCCTCCACTATTAAATCATTCATTTTCACTCCTTAATCTCCTTTCACTCTTACTTGTTGCTCTGCTGCAAGCTCCACACCCTCACCTCTCTTCTTATCCCATGGCCAGTGCTGCCTCCAAGTCCCAGTCAGTGTGACAGTGTTGTGCCAAAAGCCTCTGCAGATCATGGCTTATGGTCTACACCCTCCAGACACAGTGTCCCAACAGCTGAGCACTTGCTGGGGCTTCATCTCTGTTCTGTGCCTTCTTCTTGCATCTTTGGCTTCATGGTTTGGAGAGAAGGATCAATGCTGGCCTGAGGGGATTGCATGTGTAAAGCACTGAGGCAATGAATCAGATTGTCTCTACCTGTCAGCAAAAACAGGAGAAGAGGGGGAGGCTGAGTCTTGCCAGCACCAAAGCATGCTTTAGAGCTCCTCTGCAAGCATGCAGCTGCACTCAGCAAATGGATTCTGGGAAGATATTTCAGTAGAAAGTGTCCAACATTAGGAAATACCATAATTAGAACTAGTGCTGGGGAGCATCCAAAATACAGGTCCACCAGCAGCACTTGGCTGTGTCACCTTCTGCCTGAGGAGGTGTCATGTGTCCCCCTTGCCATCACGATTGTCATGTAAGTGCTGCTTTTTCAGAGGGCCTGCCATCAAGCTGGAAATTCAACCTGGTCCCCCTCCCCACTGGCTGGATAGATGACTCTTCTGTCAAGCCAACAACTCCCAGTATGGAGAAAGCAGAAACAGGACAAGAGAGGAGAAAGCAAAAGAACCCAGGCATTAAACCAAAAGTTTAATAAAAGTCCTGCAGAAAAGGACTGTCCTACAGGACAAATGCTCCATCATCAGTTGCAGTGTCACCCAACCACCCTCAGGCACTGGCAAGGGAAGACCACAGGTCAGAGTCCCCATGTCCTGATGGGGCTGGCAGCTGTCAGCAACTGCTTGGACAGCTGAGACTCTTGTTTTGGCAACTCTGTGTCCTCTGATTCACTAATCCCTCCTAATGTATTAGCCCAGGACTCCCCTGCTTGGACACTCCATGTGCTAATATCATGTATTCCTGAGGAAATACCTCAAAGACATAGTGTGTCCACAGGGTTTCACATCTTTGTTCCTTCATCACTTTGCAAGGTAGTGCAGACTTGTCCAAAGTGGAAATGTTGACCATTCTTAGGAACTGTGAATGGAGGAACTGGTGAGCAGAGATTTGCATGCAGTCCTGTGTCTTCTCTGTGCTCAGATCTCTTTAACCAGAGGATGGAAAGCATGGAGGGAAGGGAGAAAGGATTGTCCATGGAGGTGGGATCAGGGACCCACCTGCTCCCATTCCAGCCTTTTAGCTTAGGAGACTGCAGACAGCATTTAGTTTGGGCTTTCCTTCACTTGAGAAATGGTCTGAGTGAAGGTCCTTTGATTGTGAGAGTGAAGAAGTGCTGTGACAGCTGTGGCTGTTGAGGTTTAGCTCCCATGTGTGCAATGAAAGAACATCCCTGCACATGCCAGCCTCCTAACACCACAGCCACCTCCTGCCATGCCCAGACAGCCTGCAGAGTGATGGTGATACCATGTGTTGAGCCTGTGGCACAGGAACAATCTGCTCCAGCCATACCCAAAGGCTGGTGATGGGGAAGACAAGTGAGCCATGACCACAGGGCAGCCTTAGGGCTGACACACAGCCACAGCAGAGCTGTGCTACCCTGGGAGGTGTGAATCCATCCCTGCACGTGTGTTGAGGGATGTAGAGCCTTAATCTCATGAATGCACGTCTGACTGCATGTCCCCTGGCTCCTGACTGCTGGGGAGAGCAGGGCCAGCTCCTGCAGCTCCTCCTGCCTGGCCCTTCTCACTGCAGGGACGTGCCATCCACTTGCCCCACTTGCACATCTCACCTTGGGGCCGCAAACACAAACTCCTGATGTGTGGCAAAGGCCTGCTCAGGTTTGAGTTTAGCATGTCAAATGGCCCCAGTACATTTTCTCTTTGCATTTCCATGATGGTGCTCAGGAGAACCAGCGATGCCCTTTGGGACTGGCATTTCTGATCATGTTATGACTGGCAATATGAAGGGCACAAGGCAAGAAAAAGGCCCTCCAGCCCCTGCAGACAGTTGAGAAGTACCAAAAAATGCCTCCCCTGCTCATTATTGTTAATGATAATTGTTCTGACACAGTGTGTGTCTGTTGGGTCCATGTCTCCCACGAGGCATTCCCTCTTCAGAGGGTGTAGCACCTCTCATTCCTAGGGAAGCTCCTTCCCATTTATACCAGCAGAGAAGTCCCCTTCTGAGTCAAAGATCCTGGTCTGAGTCATGGAACTCCAACCAAAAGTGCTGGAAGCAGCAGTGAGATGGATTACAAGGATTTGGGTAAAAAAATTCCACCTCTGACCACCACATGGAGGTGTGGATGGTTTCAGCTCCTCTTTGTCCCTCTGTCCCTGCAGCTCTCCTGCTCTGAGAAGGGCCAGGGGTCAGCACCATCACCCAGGAGGCAGAGGGAGCTGAGAAACCCAGTTGCTGGTCCCTCCTGGCTGCAGGGACAATGTGTTCCCAGAGCAGGTGCCACCCCTGCCTCCTCCCAAATCCCTGCAGCATCCACCACCTGCGCTGAGGGGACACAGCAAGTGTGACAAGAGATGGTTCCTAGGGACACCTGCACTCCATTCCTCTGTGGCCTTGGTCTCCTTGGCCTCAGGGAGGTCAAGTCCAGATCTCCCACATCACAGGCATGTAGGAGAGAGCAAGCCCTCCTCTGAATTGTATCCCGTGACAAAGCTCGTGGTGTGAACTCTGCAGACAGACAATGTCCTGGGGGTTGGAGTCCCCTGACTTTCCTGCTCAGCAGGGGCTGGGTGGGTCACCAGCTCAGGGCTTGCATGACAAATGGGGGGCCATGCAGGGGGGCTTGTAGGGGCCACCAGGCTGAGTCACACCTGGACAGTGGCGGGAAGTGAGGCCAGGGATGTCACGGGTGGGGGCAATGTCAAGGGGTGATGCCGTGGGGAAACACGAAGGCAGCATCCCAAAGGTGTGTGAGCTGCAGAGAGAGGCAAATGCACCAAGTCCCCAGGCGGTGACATCAGTGAAGGACACTGGTGTCACACAACACTGGTGTCACACACATCAAGATGCCCATATGGGCTCTCTGCTCAGAGCAGAGCTGAAAGAGAGAACATAAATAAAGTGTGTTCAGGGTTTCCAAGACAGTTCTCAATCCACTGTCCACACTCTCACCTACCACCCTCACTGTCCACTCATCTAACCCACTCTTCCTGAGCTTACCTATGAGGATATTATGGGAGACAATGTCAAAAACCTTGCTGAAGTCAAGATCCACTTCTCTCTCCTCATCTACTCAGCGAGTCATTCCATTCCCCAAGGCTACCAGATAGGTCAAGCATGATTTCCCCTTGCTGAATCCACATTGATTACTCCTGATAACCTTTTCCTCCACATGCTTAGAGATGATATCCAGGATGAGCTGTTCCATCACCTTTCCAGGGATGGAGCTGAGACTCACTGGCCTGTAGTTCCCTGGGTCCTCCTTCATGCCCTTTCTGAAGACTGGAGTGACCCTGACTTTCCTCCAGTCCTCAAGCACCTCTCCTGTTCTCCGTGACCTGTAACTGTGGTGAGATTGGGGCTCTGTGACCACACAGAGATCTCTAATTCCTCTTGTTTGTTCCCCATGCTGTGTGTGTTGGTGTACAGGCATTTCAGAGAGCTAATCAAGCATGAAGGTTTCCAGTAAGGGATGCAAAAGGATCCACCAACCTGTCACCTGACCTTTTTCCAGTGTCACACCGTGCCAGGAAGCTGCTCAGTTGCTTCCCTGGAGCAGATCAGGACCCCCTCAGCCATGTGCTGGATTGAGAGGTCCCCACTAACAGTGCAATTGCCCTATTCCCAGTTGGGAGGTTTCTTCCCAAGTTTAGTCTCTCTTAGTTTTGACTTGGCACCTAAGCCAGCCAGCAGGCTTGTTTCCGTGATGGAGGCAGTATGGTGAGTGCAATTTTTAGTGTAGAAATGCAGGAGGACACACCTGAAATGTGCTTTCTAAAGGCACATGCTGCTTTGGGAAAGTTGTGCTTCCTCCCTCCAGAGTTCTCCTGCCTGGGACAGGGTATTTGCAAAATGTTCTCACTGGGAATGTGATGTGTGCTCCTCGTTAGCTCAGCATTTCGTGCGAGATATTATTCATGTGTGCTTTCCCATGGTGTTCAACCACTGCAGTGGTTGCAAGGGGCTTTGGCTGACAGCTCTAAACAGGTGGCCGAGTGCTGAGTGACTTTTATGACCTGAAAAGGGTGATAATTGTGCCAAAATTTGCTCTCAGGAGTGTTATATGGCTGTCATGAAATGCAATTTGTACATTAGGGGTTGGAAGACGGTCAGACATGTGTCTTGCTCCTGAAATAGATCTGACAGTCCATCAGCCTGTTGACAACAAGTAATCTCAGGTCATGCCTCAACTTCTGAAGCCACTTCAGCATTCACTGTGCAGATGTGAAAACAAAACTCCTGTGTAATTAATGACAAATTAATGACCACAAACTCCCAGTCCTGTGCAGGCTGGAGGTGGGGCACCTGTTAAACAAGTCCCTGTGGGAGACAAGGATCGTGCCAGTGTTTCCTACCACTCCAAATGCCTGGCTCCAGCTGCCTGTGGGTCTGTACCTGGAAAGAGCTGCTGCCTTCAAAC